TATTGCAATTTGTTGCCGGTTAGAAACTGATAAATTTCTGTTTATGACTTTTTTATGTCAGATTATTGTAAGTGCCTTAAAAATCGTGGCGACCGTTACGAGGACCACCCTGTATATGATGCACATAGTATTTAATACTCATATAGTATTTTTGTTATAAAGAAATGGACAGACATGGGCAAAAAAAAAGTAAGAGAGAGAAAGAGAGAATAGGAATGAGTAAGCGAGGGAATGGCTGTAAAACGATATATCGATTGATAATTCACATCAGTCACTAAACATTAGTGAGCATAAAGTATTGCTACGGAGAAAGATATAACTATTTCCTTTTTTTCTTACTTTTGGCACTTGTACACACTTGCTCAGTTACACTCATATCTTCTTTCTCTCTTTGCCCATTCTTCTCTGTCCATCTCTTTCTTATCCGAGCATACTATATGTGTGTTATATATTATCTGTGTGTATATGTTTGTGTATATGTAATAGTAACTTTAAATTTATTAAAATATCATTAATCTCTTGCTTATTTGTATATTTCACTGAAAATTGATTATATTTATTTTGCAATAGTAGTTGTGTCACAGTAGTTAGTTCGCCAGAGGCGATCAATTCGTGAGCTGGTTGTTGAACGAAATATTTCCCACCAAAAACGTTTTGCATGTACGCTTTGGTTGAAGAATGTATCCCAGAAGCAATCAATTCGTGAACTGGTTGTCGAACGAAATATTTTCCACCAAAAACGTTTTGCATGTACGCTTTGGTTGAAGAATGTATCCCAGAAGCGATCAATTCGTGAACTGGTTGTCGAACGAAATATTTTCCACCAAAAACGTTTTGCATGTACGCTTTGGTTGAAGAATGTATCCCAGAAGCGATCAATTCGTGAACTGGTTGTCGAACGAAATATTTTCCACCAAAAACGTTTTGCATGTACGCTTTGGTTGAAGAATGTATCCCAGAAGCGATCAATTCGTGAATTGGTTGTCGAAAGAAATATTTCCCACCAAATGCGTTTTGCATGTGCGCTTTGGTTGAAGAATATATCCCAGAAGCGATCAATTCGTGAATTGGTTGTCGAAAGAAATATTTCCCACCAAATGCGTTTTGCATGTGCGCTTTGGTTGAAGAATATATCCCAGAAGCGATCAATTCGTGAATTGGTTGTCGAAAGAAATATTTCCCACCAAATGCGTTTTGCATGTGCGCTTTGGTTGAAGAATATATCCCAGAAGCGATCAATTCGTGAATTGGTTGTCGAAAGAAATATTTCCCACCAAATGCGTTTTGCATGTGCGCTTTGGTTGAAGAATATATCCCAGAAGCGATCAATTCGTGAATTGGTTGTCGAAAGAAATATTTCCCACCAAATGCGTTTTGCATGTGCGCTTTGGTTGAAGAATATATCCCAGAAGCGATCAATTCGTGAATTGGTTGTCGAAAGAAATATTTCCCACCAAATGCGTTTTGCATGTGCGCCTTGGTTGAAGAATATATCCCAGAAGCGATCAATTCGTGAACTGATTGTCGAACAAAATATTTCCCACCAAAAACATTTTGCATGTGCGCTCTGGTTATTAAAAAAATAACATTTTATCCCAGAGGCGATTTTTATTCGTGTGTTGGTTGTTTTAAAAAATATTTTATTCCAGAAACGGTTTGCATGTGCGCTCTGGTTATTAAAAAAATAACATTTTATCCCAGAGGCGATTTTTATTCGTGTGTTGGTTGTTTTAAAAAATATTTTATTCCAGAAACGGTTTGCATGTGCGCTCTGGTTATTAAAAAAATAACATTTTATCCCAGAGGCGATTTTTATTCGTGTGTTGGTTGTTTTAAAAAATATTTTATTCCAGAAACGGTTTGCATGTGCGCTCTGGTTATTAAAAAGATATTTTATTCCAGAGGCGATTTTTATTCGTGTTCTGGTTGCTTTAAAAAATATTTCATATCATATGCGGTTTGTGCATGAATATTCTGGTTATTAAAAAAGTTATTCCAGAAGAAATTTAAAGAAACTTCCGTTTTTGAAAGACTAAATGTGCAGTATCTGGTATTCCTTCATATGATTGCAACCAATCATATATAGTAATAAAAGCTTACAAATTATTGGAAGGAATTATTATTGTGATTACTAACGATGTATTTTTTCTTTTTTTGATGGCACCAAATTTCGCGTATATAATAGTCTATCAGGCTGTGTATAAACAAGTTGGTAGCTAAAGAGAAAAAATATATACATCTTCGTTATTAGGAGGCAATCCTTATGAGAAAAAATACTCCAAGGATGTAAAGAGTATGAGGAAACGGTCTTGTAATATTATAGCAAGCAATAAACTGCTGCCTTTTTTAAAATGATAAGAAATTATGATTAAAAAAATCTATCCTGATACTC